AGGAGATTTGGTTGCAGAGTTTAGGGAGCCAGCTGTGTCGAGTACTTTACTTGGTTGGCTCAGATTGGCTCAGATTGCACACAGTGCCATTGTCATCTCATTTTTTTCCTGTGTTCCTACACATTCTCCTTCTCGAGCCATACATCCACTTTGTAAATTACAGACAACCCAGTATGATCAAACCTCAAGGCTGTCTATCCAGGGTTTGAGATCAGGGACCACTTGACCTAATAAATGATGTTGAAGGCCAGCTATCTCTACTCCGGGCTGAAAAACAGACCCTCCTTTTCCGCTAAAAGGCAGGCAGATTAATTAACCTAAAAACAATCAGGATGAGACTGAAGTGGTGGGTCCCATCAGCCAACTGAAAAGTTTTCAAAATCGTGTCTTTCTTATTTTGCGGATTTGCCTGAACTTCCTTGGTGTTCCATCCAAAAGAAAGTCTGAAATCAATATCACGAAAGGGTGTGCGTTTGACAGGAATTAGAGAACTAAACCCCGGTTTCTTTCATGAGAGTTAATCTGGCAGTGAGGGTCACTTGGGATTAATTCTCTCTTCCTGCCCACTTCCCCAATAAAATCTAGAAACCATAACAGTCTTCACCAACCTGATGTTCCCCCAGATAACTTGGACTGCAACTTCCATCATCCCCAGCCAGGACGGCTAAAGAGAATTCTAATTCAGCCTCTCTAGCGGGCATCAGGATCAGCAAGACTGTTGTAGGGAGAAGATTTTTGCAGTTCTTGCAAAATGAAGTGTGAGGTCATGTTCATTCACAATGCTGAAGTTTTTTCGAATTTTAAACAATAGTGTGCGGTAGGTGATTATGGTGGCTGCCTCAGGAGGGTGTCCTTTACTTCTAGCAGCATCAGAGAAGAATGCCAGGGTCCTATTCAGTGACCGCAGATGTGAAAGCTCGTGATGATGAACTCTCCTGTTTTAAATTGCAAGTGGGAGAATTCTGAGGAAATTAAAATGCCCATTGGAAAACTAGATGTCAGATGACCTCTGAGATAGAACTTCCGAGGCACTAGTTTCGTATGTGTTACAGACATTTTCCCTGTTTGGGGAGGGGGGGTGCATCTAACTAGGTTGACTCTGACCAGTTATTAAAGTGAGCAGAAGGGAGGATTTCACCAGCTCCTGTCTGCTCTTTATGTAAATAAGGCTCAGGTTAGCTAAGGTGCAGGAGGAGAAAAACGGTCCACTTCACCAAGAAGCACTTCTCCCCCACCCCCCAGAAAAAAAGGTTTCTTAACTTTTTGAGATGGGAGTGGAAGAGAAATAATGCTGGCACCCTAGAAAGAGGCATTTGTCCTAATAAACAGGGAGGATGTTTGTCTCATTCACAGGTGGGCTTCTAAAAACCATTCAGAGCAGCTGGAGGGTATTTATTGCAAAGCATCCCATGTGCAAAACAAGGAGACCCCAAATCTGTGAGGGCAGAATAGAAGATTCTTGGAAGGGCCAAACTCTTCCTCCTCTTAAAAACATTCATACTTGTGAGGGTTTTTTTTGTTCTTGCACAAGAACCTGAAATTTTGCCCCCAGTAAAGGCAGCCAAAGCACATCTCCCCTCTCTCCCTCTAACCAAATGTAACAACTTTAATTCTCAAATTCCCCCCCCCCCCCGCTTTTTTCTTTTTTTCTTTTTCAAATCTCCACAGTGCTCCTTCCCCCAACACAATCCTTAGGCCCAAAGTTTGCCTCCACTGTCAACTCAGTCTGGTGGATTTTTCCCAGAACCCTCTCCCAGATTTGGCAAGTCCAATTTTCTACTTGAATCAGACCCCTTTTGTTTAAGAGGGGAGGGTGGGAGGGAAAAGGAGGTAGAGAGAGTCTTTTATGACTTCAAGATGCTCATTTAGTGATTTCTTTCTCCTGCCTGCCTGGGACTGAGAAATGGGGTTACAGGGAGGGATACGGCTGGAGGGGCTTGATGTATTATAATAATCCTTACGTTTCTAAAAAAAAAATTATCTTTTTTCTGTTTTTGTGCCATAACTTTCCCCATGTACAGTTTTCCTCTTCCTGGGGTTTTTTTTTTTTTTTTTTGGTTTGTTTGTTTGTTTGTTTGTGCTGCCCTGCCCACCCTCTTTTCTTTTCCTGTCTCCCTCTGTGTGGGTGATTAAAAACTAATGTGAGTGTGTGTATGTATGTCTTTTTTTATATATGAAGAAAAATGTTGCGGGGAAACTTAGACATATGTGTCCTATGGAATGTATTAGAAAATAAAACACTTTAAAAAAAAAAAGAACGGGGGGGGAAGCTTGAATCTTACACGGGAGAGCAAACGTGAAAGGAAAATGCAAAAGTGTAATTGGTTGCTATCTAGAAGGCTACCAATGGGAGAGGCTTTGGGCGGGGTGAGAAATCTTTTAATAAAAATGTTGAATATTTAAAAAAAGAAGAGTGTCTTGTTGTTTTTTTTCTTGGGGAGGGATGAAGAACTCCAAGGTTAGAGCAATTTTATGACAAGATGCTAAAACTCACACATCTGTGGGTTGCTTGGTGCTCTCTGAGCTTGGCTGTTTTCTTGCAGAACCTTCAGTATCCAACTAGATAACATCATGAGTGCTAGAAGGGATTGGGGTTTGCTCTCAAATCCTTCTAGCACTGATGATGTTACCTAGCTGGGTGATGAAACATCTGCAAGGAAAAAACCCAAACTCGGACAGCTCCTAGGAACCCACAGTTCAACCCTGAACTACAAATTCTCAGAAATCTTAACAGCAGCACATTTCAACTGTCCTTTCTTGTACAGCTCTCAACCCTAAAAGGTTTCTATCTTGAAAGCATGAACTTGTTCGTTTCCTTTCTAAAGTACGTTTTCTGACTCACAGCCAGCATCCTGGAACTGCAGATCTGTCCTGTGTGGCATTTCGCAAAAGTTTGGTCCTCCTGCTTTATAAGGAATTCCGTCACCTAGCAACTGGATTCTGGAAGCATTCCCATGGTAACAGCATCACGGCAGTTTGGCAAGCAACAGGAGACACAGCTTAGTTTCATTTCACCTCCCACACTGGGGCACCTGAGGAGGAAAGGGGGTTGTGTTTGAATGGGAAAGAGGGCTTGTGTCTATATCCAAGATTGGTGACTTCACACATTTCCTGAAGGCAGATTCTCGCCCCTCCCTTTGCAGCCAAGCATCTGAGCATGGGCAAAGTCCTGACTTTCTGTTCTGTTGGGCCCCTTGAGAAATACACCAGATGTTTGAAACTGCTGTATCTTACATCATCATATTGCAGAACAACAGGTTCGATTGGTGCCTGTAATCAATCTTGGGAATCTGAATTTCAGGCCTTGTGTGTGCATGGTTGTGTTCTGCCTGACACTTCAGGATAAAGGGGAGAATTTAGTAGCTCTCTTACCCTCCTGGACAGCAGAAAATCACAGCTCCCCATTTAATCCTCAAATCGGGATCCAAGCTGCAAGATTTCCAAAAGGTAAACAAAGCATGGACTAAAGCCAGCTTTTGTTCTTCTGTAGCAGTGGTTCAAAGATCTTGGTGTAGCAGCCAGGGGTGTCTGTGGGGTGTGATCAAAGTGTGCAAGGCACATTTAAAAAAAATAGATGGGAGTTTGGGCCACACTATCATGCTGCCATGTATATTTTACAGAAGCCTCTAGGAAGGCCTTTCATTCTCCCTAGTTACCCTCATTCACCCAGTTTCCATCTAAAAGCACCACAGAAGCAGGCAGTCAATATTATACAACCTGCAAATAAGTATTTTCTTCTTCCATTGAACTAATATCAAATCAAATCGAACATTTAATGTCAATGCACAACACGTGTACAATGAAATTGAAATATGTGGGTGCAAGTGATAGATTTTAATTAATTTTTAGTAAACTACCTTGAGATTTCTGGCCCCAGTTTGTAAATATTCTATAGAATTGCTTTTCCTTTTATTTTTTCTTGTCACTTGAGAAAAAATTATTTTTCTTGTCGCTTGAAACATAGCTGGCAATATTTTAAAATATTGGGGGCAGAGGGACAAAAAATAAACAAAATTATCAGGAAGAAATAGAAACATTTGCCAAAGATTAGATAGCTACATTTTAAAAGTTATGCAATACCTACTTTAAAAAACATAAAAATCAAAAATCATTTTTATGTATTCCTTTGAAGTTGACAAAAACAGAATTAGGTTTAGCACTGGTACACAGCAGAATTCAACCTTATTCCTTCCATAGGATGAGCTGGCCAGGATCTCCTCAATCCCTTCACTACTAAAAGATGAGGTAGAAACCTACCTTTGGAAGCATCTCTCAGGTCAGAGGCTCTTGGCTTATGCTCAGTGGCCCTATTGGCTCCATTCAAGTCCAAAGGAGCAAAGTCAAATGATTCCTGCTGATGTTTTGTTGGATGATTTCTATGGCCAATTTCTATGGCCAAACAGCTGCTCCTGAACGCAGGATATGTTTGATGCACAGAAAGCCCAACGTTGATTCTTTGCAGCAGTGCCATTGGGGAGAACTGCAACTATAGTTAAACACAGGTTCAGTGTCTTTGGACTCCAGGCTAATTGAGGGAGGGAGAGAGGCTTTTTCAAATGCCTCAAAAATAGAGTGTTATAAGAGCCGTAGTGGTGCAGTGGTTAGCATGCAGTATTGCAGGCTAATTCTGCTGACTGCCAGCAATTCGATCCTCACTGGCTCAAGGTTGGCTTAGTCTTCCAACCTTTTGAGGTGGGTAAAATGGGCCAGATTGTTGGGGGATAATATGCTGACTCTGAAAATGGCTTAGAGAGGGGCTGTGAAGGAGTATATAAGTCTTAAGTGCTATTGCTATAATGGGCATGGCTGGTTCATTCATTCTGCTGAGAAAGAGGCCTAGTTTTCTTCTCAAAAGTTCTCCTTTGACAGCCCCGGAGAAGAAAAGTTCTCCCTTTCAGCCTCCATTAAGCTTTCATCCTGCCTTCAAGTTCTTTCCTGCCTTCTTTCTCTTCCCCCCGCCCCCCCCCATCCTACTCCAATCCTTTTTCTTAAGATCCAAAATGGAAAAGAGCTTCGATTTGGAGGTGAACAGCCCCCTTCAATCTGATAAAAGTCTTCCGGGAGGTTTCGCCCCCAGAATCTCCGAAACCATGGCTGAGCTGCTCATCAACACCGTGGCTGGCACTGCCCAAATGGTCCAGGTCTCTGTGGAAGCCCAGAAATCTGCCCAGGTACTTCAGGTTGACTGTTTCAGCCCAACCCTAAAGAGGAAGTCTGTGCAAGTGAGAAATTCTCTCTTGTACAGGTAGTCCTCGACTTATGCCCCCAACTGAGGCCAAAATGTATGTGGCTATGAGAAATCTGTTCAGTAAGTTTTGCCCCATTTTACAACTATTCTCATCACGTTTGTTTTTTATATTTTTATTATGCATTTTTCTTTATAATATATATTTTCAATTTTACATCAACAATCCATCTCTTTCCTTCTCTTTCCCTGCCTTCCCCCTCTCCTTTCCTCTCCTCTCTCTTCATATTTTCAGTTTTGCATTGACAATCTATCTCTTTCCTCTCTTTCCTTCTCCTTCCCTGCCTTCCCTTCCCTCTTCTTCTCTCTCTTTTTGTCCTCTTCCCCTCCACTTCCCTCTCCTTCCTTCTCTCCTTCTCTTCTCCCCTCTCTCCCCTCTCTAGTCACATTTGTTCAGTGGATCACTGCAGTTGTTAAATTAGTAACCCAGTTGTTAATTGAATCTGCTTTCCCAATGACTTTGCTTGTCAGAAGGTCACAAAAACATGATCACATGGCCCCAAGACACTGCAATCATTGTAAATGTGAGTCAGTTGTCAAACATCCAAATGTAAATCACATGACCATGAGGATGTTGCAACAGTCATAAGTGTGAAAAATGGTCATAAGTCACTTTTTTTCAGTGGCATTGTAATTTTGAACAGTCACTAAGCAAACTGTTGTAAGTTGAGGACTTACCTGTAATGACAAATGATTCAAAGGGGTTTTTTAGTCGTGGCCCATCATAGAACAACTTTAAAACCAGGTAGTCTTCGACTTACGGCCACAATTTGAGCCTAAAATTTCTGTTGTTGAAGCATTTGTTAAGTGGTTCTGTTGTCCCATTTTGCAACCTTTCTTGTCACATTTATTAAGTGAATAATTTCAGTTGATAGTTAGTAACCGAGTTGTTAAGTGAATCGGGCTTCCCCATTGACTTTGCTTGTCAGGAGGTCACAAAAGGGGATTACGTGACCCTGGGACACAGCAACAGTCATAAGTATGAAACAGTTGCCAAGCATCTCGATTCTGATCACGTGACTATGGGAATGCTGCTAAGGTTGTAACTGAACAATGGTTGTAAGTCACATTTTTCAGTGCTGTTGTAAACTTTGAATGGTCATTTAAATAAACTGTTGTAAATCGTGGATTACCTGTACTACCCTTCCAATAGTAGCAGTCCAAAGAACTGTGCAAAAGGAATAAAAATCATTTATTCATAAGCCAAAGCTGTCCAATCCTTCCATCCCTGAAATCGATTCATAAAAACAGTAATACCGAAATGAGAAGAGAATTCTGTGTAGCATAAGAGACAAGGGCCATGATGGAGAACCTATGGCACGCATGCCACAGGTGGCACACAGACTTATTTGTGTAGGCACACGAACCCCAGCCAAACTTACCTGCACTGTGCATGTGCGCACCTCCCAGCTGATTTTTGGCCCATTTGAATCCGTTTTCGCCCACCCAGAGGCTCGTGGGAAGCCTCTACAGCCTCGGGAGGCCGAAAAACGGGCCTTCTGGAAATACCGGAAGTGCCAAAAAGGGCCCATTTTCAGCCTTCCGAGGCTGCAGAGGCTTCCTTCGAGCCTCCGTGAGGGCGGAAACGGCCTCAAACGGGCTGAAAATCAGCTTGGAGGTGCGCGCATGTGCAGTGCAGGTAAGGGGGCAGGTGGGGTGTTGCGCGCACATGCACGGGGAGGCAGGCGCATTGTATTGTGGGTGCTGGCATGCACATCCTTTCGGCATACCACAACAAACAGGTTCGCCATCACTGGACTAGGGTACAGGCGAGTCCTTGACTTACAACCAGTTGCTTAGCAACCACTCAAAATCACAATGAACCTCCCCTGGGGCTATTTGGGACATGGGTCAGAAGGTCTTACAGTCACCCCACCCCTTCAGTCACATGACCAAATTTTGGTCGCTTGGCAACGCAGCTACATTTACAGTCCTTTGCAGAGGCCCAGAGTCACTTGAAGGTTTTTACAGTGGTCGTAGCAAATCACTGGTTCGCTTAACAACCACAGTGTTTTGCTTAAAAACTGATGCAGAAAAGGTCGTACAATTGGGTCAGTTAGGTGACCGACTTGTTTTATGACCATCGTGGTTTATGACCTTGATGGGCAGGCTCCATTACAGTCGTAAGTCGAGGTCTACCTGTATAAACGTCCATAGGTGAAAAGCAGTATGAGTGAAAGTGAAAAGGTGGAAGGATCAGCAATCATCCAATTTCAGGTAGTCCTTGACTTACCAAAAGTGAGCTTACATTTCTGTTTTGTAAGCAAGATGGTTGTTGTAAGTTTCACCCCATTTTAGGACCTTGCCAACGTTTTTAAAGTCAATCGGTGCATTTAAGTTAATAACGTGGTTGTTAAGTGAATCTGGCTTCCTCATTGTCTTGGCTTGTCAGAAGATGATCACATGACCCCAGGATCTGCAGCATCACAAACATGAACCAATTGCCAACCATCCAATTTTTGATCATGTGACCACAGAGATGCTACCATGGTCGGAATTGTGAAAAATAAGTCACTTTTTTTGTGCTGTTGTAACTTCAGTCACGAAACGAATGTTGTAAATACCACCTGTATATACAGGTGGTCCTCGACTTATGACCACCACTGAGCCCAATTTTTTTGTTGTCAAGTGAGAAATTTGTTAAGTGAGTTTTGCCCCATTTTACAACTTTCCTTGCCACGTTTGTTAAGTGAACAACCGCAGCTGTTAAATTAGTAACACATTTGTTAAGTGAATCTGGCTTTCCTTTTGACTTGCTTATCAGAAGGTCGCAAAAGGGGATCACGTGACACCCCTCCGAGACACGGCAGCCATCATAAATGTGAGTCCATTGTCAAGCATCCAAATGTAAATCACGTGACCATGGGGAATGCTACAATGGTCATACGTGTGACAAATGGTCATAAGTTACTTTTTTTCAGTGCTGTTTTACCTTTGGTCACTAAATGAATTATTGTAAGTTGAGGACTACCTGTATACAGGAATAGTCTTCCCTAGGAAAGCACAGGGCTCCCGGCTGATCAGTCTCCACCTTTTTTCAGCTAGCTTGTTTCCATGCAGAGCATGCACTGACTCAAGCCCGTCTGAGCTACATGGCAGCGAGGGGGCTGGCTGAGCCACTTTTGGGATTCTTGAGCCCCCCTGACTTCCAGGGACTCTTCCAGATACTCTCACAGCCCCCCATGCCATATTCGGAATTTTGCACGATCATCCGACGGACAGAAAATGGTAAGCAACTGCCCACCATTGCAACTTCCTCTTACTCTGGAGTAGTACCACTCTACTCTCTACCTACTACTTAATAGCTCCTGCTCATTATCAAGAAATTTTGAGTCCTTCTAAATCAGGGTTTCTCAATCTTGGCAACTTTAAGATGAATACACTCCAACTCCCAGAATTCCCCAGGTAGCCTTGGTGACTGGGGAATTCTGGGATTTGAAGTCCGTTCATCTTAAAGTTGCCAAGATTGAGGCACAATGTTCTAAATGCATCTCCCTTCTTGCCACCCAGCCCTCCTACACCCTGTTCTCAAATGCAAGCCGGGATTCCAAGTGCGACGGGAACCTAGTCCTGGTCCTGAAGGCAGCTGCCTGTAAGTGACTTTGGAAGGAGCTGGGGAATAGGGTTGCTTAATATGGAGACAAATCTCTGGCCTCCCATTTCTAGCCTGGTTCAATCTTTTTTCCCTAGAGCTGACCTTGCAGATGATGGTCTTCAGAGAGGCTTTTCTGACCTCCAATTCTTTAGACCCTGTTGGGTCAGCAAAGCGGTAAGTAAAACACATCCATGCAGACTCGAAAACTTCTGCGGTCCAAGTTCCGTTTTGTAGTATTTGAAAAGTAGGGTTTGGTTGCAAATGGAGCCAGTACGATTGCTGTAGGAAGGACTCATCACATCACTGGTGTCCAACCTTGGCAACTTTAAGACCTCTGGACTTCAACTCCCAGAATTCTCCATCCAGTATGGCAGCTTGGGGGATTCTGAGAGTTGAAGCCCACAACCCTTAAAGTTGCCAAGGTTGGATACCCCCTGAATTAACTCTTAAGATGGAGAGAGAAGTTCCATCTTCTTTGCAAACCATCAACATCTGAGAGTATTAAATGCATGTGGAAGAAAGACATCAGACATGGTGTAACATGAGCAGTTTAAACCAACTGGAGAGGTAATCAAAACTTGACTGTACTTGAAGTGGACATGAGATTTGTGGAGGAAATTAGACAGTCCTTGACTTACAACCAGAATTGGGACCAGAATTTCCATTGCTAAGCAAGGCAGTTGTTAAGGGAATCACACCTGATTTTGCCGCCTCTTTTGCCACAGTTATTAAGCAAATCATTGCACTTGTTAAATGAATCCCATGGTTATTAAACAAATCCAGCTACCCCATTGACGCTGCTTGTTTGAAGCTGGCTGGAAAAGTCACAAATGATCACATAACCTCTGGATGTTGCAACCATGGGAAATATATGTTGGTTGCCAAGCACCCAAATTTTGATTACATATGGATGCTGCAACGTCCTGTCATAAATGCAAGAAGGTCATTTTTTCACTGTTATTGTAACTTTGAATGGCCACTAAAAATGGTTGTAAGTCTAAGACTACCTGTGCTATGGCTTTCCCATCAATAGAGGTTAGTACCAAGTGTTCTACCGAGTGTTCTCCAGGGTGAGCTTTGCACATTCCCATTTGGAGCAAGAGATCAGGTTTGAGAAGGCTATACGAAAGCTGGAAGAATGCTTGATGGATGTGAATCACCTTTTAAATACTCATTATGCCTTGTTAACATAAATAACAGCCAGAGCCGCATGGGAAATTTTAAAAAGAATTTATCTAACCAATGGGGAAAATGTTAAGTACTGTTATAGATGAACAACAGCGAGGTTCTTAGCCCAGTGTGCCCTTTGCCAACCCAAGATGGAAAGGAGATTAATATCTGTTTATGCATAAGTAAAAACTAGATCTCCCATGGATACAAGAGAGACCCCTTAAAGGGGGGGAAATCACTTTAAATACACAAACATATTGGATTTGGAATGTGTTCTTCAATCGGTCAGCATCATTTGAATCCTCAATCTTTATATGTACCATGTAACAATTCATATAATCCCACAACATTCTTAGCGTGATTTTGTTAATGCCTAATTACAGGAGAATCTTTACTTCAGAGAACTAGAAACATTCATCAAAGGCGCTCCTTGTTACTCAAAGAAGCCTCCATCTCCTGTTTCCATCAATAGGCATCTATGATGTGAACTGACATAGTTTTTATAATGGGAAAGGATTCTGGACACAGGCAAAACTAGAAATAGGAATGAAATGAAAACACAGTTTAACCATGATTCCTTTGATAAATCATGGTTAATTGAATTCATGCAACAAGCCATAAACCAAGAGCAGGCTGGGGTCTGCTTTTTGTTTTACATTGCATATAAATCACATACTGTATTATGGGAAATAAAATGAATCGTTACGATTACATGAGAACTGATTTGGTGTTTCTCAGCATTTATTCTGTAATAAGATCAATGAAAAAAACAATTGTGTAAATAAGGTGTCTTGAATGGGCTTTCTATTCTAATAGGAAGCTGGTACTCTAAATAAAGTGAGGCTTTTATGATTGGGATCTTTTCATAGAACCCTAATAAAAGTTGATTGAGGAGTGACTCAGATCCAAGGACCAAGAGAGATCATATTCTTTTTTTTAATATAAATTTTATTTGGGTTTTCACAAAAACATAATACAAATAAAACATCTCTTTTTTTTTGAGAATAGCATGATTCCGGGCTATCACTTCTTCATACAGACACAAACTCAATTTCATATCATCTTTGTGTTCTATTCCATATCTTATTACTATTTTAACATTTTCTCCATAATTTTTCCCCTCCCTTGGTTTTCTCAACTTTATTTTTGATTATCTCATATCTAAATTCAATTATATATCTTTTTCTAAGTTTCAATGTCTTTCCAATCATTATATTTATACTTTTGTCTGTCCTGTTTCAATTTCATATTATCTTTTCTCATTAAACAAATTTCCCCCTGTAGTTACTAATTGGAGTATGACACCTTTATATCTTTTAATTTTATCCATTCAACTCTTATTTCAACTTCAATTTATGCCTTTAAAATTATAACATTCACTACATGTATGGTGTTCGGCTTGGTTCGGGTATTTTCCCACGTCATTGTAGTTGTTCTTTTAAAGTTGTAGCAACGTTTCAGCAGAATCTCATCTGCCAGAAGCCTGAAACCTCGCTTCCTAACAAATGATAGCCGTCCATTCACTGGGAGCCAAGCTGCACTAAAAGCCTCCAATACAGGAACACAATGTTGCCAGCCGATCAAGATACACACACACACAAAAGCCACAAAATAGACAGAAGATATTATAAACACCAATCAATTTGCCTGGCTAGTGTTGTGGAGATTTTTTTGTTTGTGAATGCAGGCTTCCAAATAATTGACCGTTTCAGTTGTTTCAAAAACTGAAACAGCTGTGAAAATCTGACTCACAGACGAACACAATACAGAAGCCTGATGATGGCAGATGAGATTCTGCCGAAACGTTGCTACAACTTTAAAAGCACAACTACAATGACGTGGGAAAATACCCGAACAAAGCTGAATACCATACATGTAAGTACCCGTGAAAACTTAAGAAAACAAATTATATATATGTGTGTGTGTGTGTGTGTGTGTATGTATGTATGTATATATATGATGATATATATATATAGATGATATATATATATATATAGTAAATAAAACGCTCATTCCATTCCAATTCAATTTTATCATTAATTTTAGTTAGAATCTTAAAATCTTGAACATTTCTTTTCAATTGAATATCATACTTCCTTGTGAACACTTATAAACTTTTCATAATTAATTCTTTCCCCCCCATATTTCTCTTCACCTGTATTTTTATAAATCATTAATAATGATTAAAATGTTCCCATCTTTTCCTAATTTCATTCTCTCATTCACTTTATTTCATTTATTTATTAACAAACATTCCACTGCATTACAATAAGTATTTTATCCATCATTTTAATCATACATTGTTTCATATTTTCTAAAATTATTTCTATTTCTAATATAACAATACTCTTATGTACCTTTGTAGAATCCCCTTTTCAATTAAATTTTCACCCCTTATCTCTAAATAGGCTTATATTTTCAATCCTTATACTGTATATTTTCCCTGTTTCTCTATATCTTGTTTCTGTCTTTTATAACTTATTATTTATTTATTTATTTATTTATTTGATTTGCCAATTGTTTACAAGATAATAAGTATAAATGTATACATAGTTGTGAATACATGAAATGGGTACATATAAGAAAAATAAAAGAATAAGAGAAACAATAGGACAGGGACGGTAGGCACGTTGGTGCGCTTATGCATGCCCCCTACAGGCCTCTTAGGAAAGGGGTGAGGTCAATAGTAGACAGTCTAAGGTTAAAGTTTTTGGGGTTTGGGGAAGAAACTACAGAGTCGGGTAGAGTATTCCAGACATTGACCACTCTATTGCTGAAGTCGTATTTCCTGCAATCAAGTTTGGTGCGGTTTACTTTGAGTTTGTATCTATTGTGTGCTCTTGTGTTGTTATGGTTGAAGCTGAAGTATTCATTGACAGGTAGGACATTGCAATGTATGATTTTATATACCATGCTTAAGTCAGACCGAAGACGGCATAATTCAAGGTTTTCTAGTTCTAGAATTTCAAGTCTGGTGGCATAAGGTATTCTACAACGAGTAGAGGAGTGGAGAACTCTTCTTGTGAAATATTTCTGGACTTTCTCAATTGTGCTAATATCAGATACGTAATGTGGGTTCCAGACTGATGAACTGTATTCGAGTATTGGTCTAGCAAATGTTTTGTATGCTCTGGTTAGTAGTGTGATATTACCAGAGAAAAAGCTACGTAGGGTTAGGTTAACAACTCTTAATGCCTTTTTGGCTATGTAGTTGCAGTGGGCTCTAACACTTAGATCATTAGAGGTGAGTATTCCAAGGTCCTTTACAGAGCTTGGGTCATCAACAAGATCTTGACTATTCAGCTTGTATTTTATTTTCTGATTTTTTTTGCCAATATGTAAGACAGAGCATTTATTTGTTGAGATTTGAAGTTGCCATTTGTTTGACCATTCTGATACATAGTCAAGATCTTTTTGTAGGGTAGCAGTATTGTCTGTGGTATTGAACAGCTTTACATCATCAGCGAAAAGAACGCAGTTGCTCTTAATATGATCACAGAGGTCATTTATGTAGAGTATGAAGAGAGTTGGTCCTAGAACACTGCCTTGGGGGACACCACTATTGACAGGTACAGAATTTGATAGGACGCTCCCAATTTTGACCATTTGTTGTCTGTTTGACAGGAATGCTTCTATCCAGTTATTCAGTTGTCCAGAGATACCATAGGATTTTATTTTTAGGAGTAGTTTGTCGTGTACCACTGAATCAAAGGCTTTACAGAAGTCTATGTAGATTGCGTCTATTGCTTTGCCCTGGTCGAGTTGTGTCGTCCATATGTTTTTGCAGTGTAAGAGTTGCAGATTACAGGATAGTTTTTTTCTGAAACCAAATTGTTTATTGGAGAGTAGGTTGTTTGTCTCTAAGTGGAGGATGATGGATTGGTTAATAATTGATTCCATGACTTTACAGGTGACGCAGCATAAGGAGATTGGCCTGTAATTTTCAACTAGGCTTGGGTCTCCCTTTTTGAAGATGACTTCAGCAATAGAGTGGTCAATGTCTGGAATACTCTACCCGACTCTGTAGTTTCTTCCCCAAACCCCAAAAACTTTAACCTTAGACTGTCTACTATTGACCTCACCCCTTTCCTAAGAGGCCTGTAGGGGGCGTGCATAAGCGCACCAACGTGCCTACCGTCCCTGTCCTATTGTTTCTCTTATTCTTTTATTTTTCTTATATGTACCCATTTCATGTATTCACAACTATGTATACATTTATACTTATTATCTTGTAAACAATTGGCAAATCAAATAAATAAATAAATAATAAGTTATAAAAGACAGAAACAAGATTCTTCTTTTCCTTTCCTTCTTCCCCCTCTTCTTCTCCCCTCCCCGTTTTGCCCCCTTGTCTCTCTAATTCTCTAATTCTTCTAATTCTCTCTTCTGTGATCCTCTCTTCTGTTGCTTCCTAATATTGTAATTATTTTTCAAACTATTCTTTTTTTGGGGTTGTTTTTTCAAATCTTAAACTTTTCACTCTCTTTCCCCCCTTTCCTTTTTTCCCCCACATAAAATTACGTGATCATTAAAGATGGATTCTACTTTGTCCCGACCTTCTTGTTCTACAAGCGTTTCTTGTTGTTTCTCATAGTTCCAGATCTCCATTTCTAAAAATTGAAATACGAAGCCAAAAGAACCCCTTCCTTCCTATGCATGTTCTTTCTGTTTTTTAAGTTCCATTTTCAGTTCTTCTAAAAGCGATGCCATTTTAAACACTTTTAAACAACCACCCGATTTATTTTAGTCATTTAAATCCAATAGCCAAAAATCCAAAAATCACCAAATAATCCAAAGCTGCTGCTGCTTGCCTCTTTTTTTCCACTTTCTCTTCCTGGGGTTCTATTATTTTGTTATAAAGTTTTAGTTAGAATGTATCTTTTAGGAATCTTGTTAAGATTTCACTGTAAGTTCCTTTTAGTTCCAGGCAGTCTCCTCCATTTTTCCAGATCCCGCCCTTTTATTCTTTCCTTTTCTCTCCTTTTCTGCTTTTCAAGGTTTTTGAATATCCAAAAGTCTTTATTATCCCTTTGGCATTTTATTTTCAGCTTATATGCCTATTGATGTCAAAGTGGATTTTTATCAATTTCTTACTTAAATCTCTTAGCTGTCAGTATAAGGAAGGGAAGGGAAAAAAAGCCAAATCCTTTCCCTTCCCTCTCTCCTTCGCTGCTTCAAAGTCTTCTTTGGGAACAATGTTATTTTTTATAGTTCAAATTCCAGGGTACCTTACTTTGTTATTTTTTCAGTTTAACCCAGTCAACCAAAACTTTCTCTTCTTATCTTCCTCCTGCACATTCTTTTCTGGTCGAGTTCTTCTTTGAGGTGGCCATTTCTGACCACCGCTGCAACCTTCAGGAAAGGGAGTAATGGCTAGCTGAGGAGAGATGCAGCTCTCCTCAACTCTGCTGGCGGTCTCCCCCCTCTTCACCATCTCTATGGGATGGCTTAGCCCCGAATCCAGCCGGCTCGGGGCACTCCGGCGGCGAGCACAGATTGAAACAACGCACGATCACGGATTTCAGTCCATCACCGAAGAAGTTCAAACTGGAAGTCAAGAGAGATCATATTCTGTAGGTGATCCTCATCCCAACATTTCCTTTTTTTTCAGAATGACAATGGGACAAATGAAGAGGAGAATCAACCAGAGGAGATTCGAGATGGATATCCCTCACACCACAAAAAAGTAGGACTCCATTTTCATTTAGTTTCCTAAATTACAAAATGCAAAAACACTAGCCTGAAGGTTTCTTTTCTTAACTTCTGTCTAAATGGCATTTTGGAGGCTGCCTGTGGAATAAGGACAGCATGCTAAAGCCTAAAGATTTCTTATAATGCAAACGTGCGAAAACTAGAATGTTCTTTCCCAAATATATTAAATGTATCTCTAGTAGCAGGATCATACTTCTTATATTTCATCCATTTTTATCCTGTTATTTAGAGGAGTCTCTAACCATTCCTCTATATAACCTGAGTATATCTTACGGTCTCCTTCATAATTAATTTTTGTATAAATGAATTAATTAAAAAAGAAAAACAAAACAAAACAAATAAAAAATTCAAACCTAGTGGATCACTGGGTCATTTTCTACTATCAGTTTTCTATGTTGCTACGTCAAAAAGTAGGGGATGTTTCCTTCGCCAAGCCCCAGGGCCTTTTGGAGAGGTGGAAACTATATTTCTACTCAATCTGATCCACACTAGATCTCTGGTTTCCCCGCTGCTTATAATCAGGGTAGTGAAACTGTTTGCCAAGAAGGAAATAAAACCAGGGGGGAGATGGCACTTAAGATTCTATATTGCTTTTCACTTCCTTCACTTCCTACACTGCAGCTCCCAATCTGTTGTCTCCCACCAGGTTGAATGCAGCAAGTTTCTGAGCAAAGGGATTCTTTGCAATGCTGCCCTCCAGCAGGAGAATTTGGACAGTGACATCACCAACAACCAGCCAGAAACCACAGCTAAGGATACTGGATAAGCTGACTGTGCCCAGTTGAATGTTCTAGGTACAATCCAAAACAATCAGCTTGAAGTCCACTTCCTTCCTCCCTACAAGACCTGAAAGCAAACAAAGGGATGCCATTTTTGATTATTAGTGGTCCAGCATTATTGCAACAAAGGTTGAGCTGGACATAATTGCTATAAATTATTTGCATGTTCTACCCAAGAGCCAGGTCAATGTTGGCCCAATCTAACATATGAAGATATGAAGAATATCTCAACGTTGTCACCTCTTCCCCCACCAAATAAATTTAAATAAAACATGAATGAGACAAATTCTAGCCATTGCTGTTTTATATATAGCCAGAATATTTATTTGCAACTATTTTGGTGATCATCTGGGAGCTTATTTTAGTATGAAAAACAAGAAAATAAAGATTAGGAAAGGGTAAAAATGAGGTGCAGGATAAAAGGAAGAAAACAAAAAAAAAGCATTGACTTTTGACTCTTTCCAGTACAGATAATACTCAACTTACAACCACAGTTGAGCGCAACATTTATGTTGCTAAGTGAGAGATTAGTTGTGAGTTTTTCCTCATTTTATGACCTTTACCACTGTTGTTAAGTGAATCACTGCAGTTGCTAAGTTAGTAATACAGTTGTTAAGTGAATCTGCCTTCCCCATTGACTTAGCTTGTCAGAAGGTTACAAAAGGTGATCATGTGACCCTAAGCTTAGGATATGGCAACCATCATATATATGAGTCAGTTGCCAAAGATCATACGTATGAAAAACAGTCAAGTCACTTTTTAAAATTCTGTTGTAATTTTAAGCAGTCACTAAGCAAACTGTTGTAAGTTGAAGATGAAATAAAATATTAAGTACAATTACAGCCTCAACTTTTTGCATTATATGTCATCACAATCAGCCATTTCTATAACTACACAATTATTCAACGTTCACACTAAGGTCTATGTTTCATTTTTTCCTTCTATTTGAAGCATAACATTTGGAAGTGATTAATCTTTATTTCCATTGTATTTTATACTGTAATAAACTTTAATAAAAAATAAGTCTGGGAGCATGAAGGCATATATATTTAATAATATTTGTTAATTTGAAAAGTGCTCTCAAACTCTATGTGGATTTTGGATAGCATAGATTAATTCAGTTCTTCTTCTACAATGTCAACTGTTCAGGAGGTAATTGTAACAGAGGTCTGAAACTACAGCAAAGAAATTCCCCTTATCAGTCTCTTGAAAAATTTTTACAACCATTTTGTCCATTTTCAGCATTTTTTCAAGTTACATGTCCATTTTGTAAGTCAGTAATTCAGATTTTTTTTAAAAAAAGGATTCAGATCGTTAAATTTTCAAATCTATTACATGTATAATTTTTTATTTTATTTTAACAAAGCAGTAGCATTGTTTTTAACTTTTTGTTGTTATTTGCGAAGTTGTGTCCGACCCGTCGTGACCCCATGGACAATGTTCCTCCAGGCCTTCCTGTCCTCTACCATCTTCTGGAGTCCATTTAAGCTCAGGCCTACTGCTTCAGTGACTCCATCCAGCTACCTCATTCTCTGTTGTCCTGTTCTTCTACGCTCAAAAATAATCTGAAAAATTTATGAGAATATGAAGTGGGTTGATGCCCTGAATGTTCCTCAGACATTACAGGATATATATATATATATGTTACAGTTCATAGACCCTGCATTTGATGCTCTTCATTTTGCTTTTATGGATTCAGTTGGCCTGGAAAACAGGATCTACTAAGCCTTTAACCATTTGAAACTTCAATTCCCAGAACACTCCAACCAGCAATGGGCCATTCTGGGAGTTGAAGTACACGCATCTTCCAAATGGCTAAGATTGGGAAACACTGCACTAAGGGAAGCATTAAAAATCTAGAGTAACTCATGAAAAGTGTCATTTTTCTTTTAAAAGCATCTTTCAATCTCTTCCAATTTACAAAAAAAACCCGGCTTTTCAAGCCCCCCAGCCGTCTTGCAGGCCAACTAAGCTAAAAAAAAAAAAAAGGAAGATTCCCTCACCTCTTAGCCTTTTCGAAAGTCGGACTAAACCAATCCGAAATGCTGGGGGAATCTCAAGTACATTTACTGCAGGAAATTCTCTGAGTGAGGGACCGAAAGGAAACAAAGGGAGCCCAAAGTAGCAATCCTGAAACTGAAGAATGAGACAGGCGCCTTATTGAAGGGGGGGGGGGTTAATTCCCCCCCCCCCGCGCGCAATGATTCATTATAATGAAACGGCTCCCCTCTCCCGGTTTACAAATGGCGTTTCTTGCTTCAGAAACTGTCCAGACCCGGAAGTGGTGGTGAATCGCCTGAACATCTGTAAAGGAGGGGGGGCTTTTTCGCTCTCCTACTGCGGGCAAGGAGGGGCAAAGGGCGGGCAGATGCGCTTGTGGCGGCGGGAAGGCCGCTATGGGTGTCGCCTGAGCTCATCCTCGCCTTGGACTTGGGTCTAAGCTGGTATTGCAGGGCATTTCCAATCTGCGCAGAGCCCCCGCCGGCAGCAAGATGAAGCAAGAGAATATTTTCCTCTTCGTTCCCAACCTCATTGGTAAGTGATGGGATGCAGGCCGGGCAGTCGGTCCCAAAATGCTGGGCGTGGTGGACTTGCTGATATTTTTGCCTTCTAGCGCTGATCTCTTCCCCCTTTGCTTGACTTATATTTTAATTGAGTATTCCTTCAATCTTGGGTGACTTTAAAACGCCTGGACTTTCACTCCCAGAATTCCCCAGCCAGCCATGGGGAATTCGGAAAGTCCAGGCATTTTAAAGCCACCCAAGGTCGAGAAAAAACAGCTTTAAGCCACTTCCATTTCATTGCTCTTGCAGTGATAACCCTGGTCCCCTAAGGGAAGCCACAACTTTGAGGAAAGCACCACCAAACAGGCCAACCGCTTATCTGATGGTTGAACAGATTGTACTTCCCCCACCCCCACCCCAGAAAAGTCTCTAACACATCTTCCATGTCTATGTGATGAAGCCAAGGATTTGAGAAATGTGGAGAATTGTGGCAAGAAAGTGGTGAAGGGGATTGTGGGTGATTTAGCTGAAATTTGGGGAGCTGGAGACTGCTCTCTGTGTGGGGTGCAGGATTGAAGAACAGTGACTTAACATTGTTTGCCTTTCCTTTTGCAGGTTATGCTCGTATAATCTTCGCTTGTATTGCTTTTTATTATATGCCAACCTCCCCCTCACTGGCATCATTCTTCTATCTACTTAGCGGCTTCCTCGATGCCTTTGATGGCCATGCTGCCCGGGCTCTTAACCAAGGTAGGCCTGCGCTATGCCAGGGTAATAGCGGGGTGGAAGAAAGGGAAAGAAAGGAAGAGTGGAAGAAGAGTGGAAGGGAAAAGAGGGGGAAGAAGGGAAAGAGAGAGGAAGGGTAAAAGGGGGGTGAAAGGAAGAAGAGAGGAGGGGAAAGAGCGAGGAAAGAAGAGAGGAAGAGCAGGAGAAGGAAGGAGGGAAGAAGAGAGGAAGGGCAAGGGAGGGGAGGAAGGGAAGAAGACAAGGAGGGAGGGAAGGGAATAGGAAGGAATCATAGGTGCAGGATAAAGTCTTGGCTGTCAAACTCCATGTTTCTTGTTTTACTTCAGAGAACATTACCAGCTCTCGACTGGGGGAATCTGATCCTTTTTAGCTGAAGTTGATCTTGGGACTTTCATCTTTAAAATATACAATCCACCATTAAGTCCTCGACTCTTTCCCAAAAAAGAACTGGCATATCATTGTGATTGGTTACAACAGTGAAGCAATCCGAATACATTTTTAGTTGACTAGATTGTTGTTCATGTTCTCCCCTGCCCTCTTCCCAAATCTGTTATTTAGGGTGGAAGATCCTGAACTACAACATAGTGTTGTTTGATTGCTTTAGAAGGGATTGTCTGGGAATTCTCCATAGTTGAGTATTTCGTTTTTAGAAATATTTAATTCACGCACACGTAAATCAAGACAGTGCAAACTTTACCTCAAGTGTGTGGGGTCAGGATTCGGCCCCTAGTATGTATATCAAAATATGAATGCTAGATTTTGCCAGCTTTTTTCTACTCAGGTTGTATTTCCGTAGGTCATAGTTTGATTAATTGTTTGATTTAAACAAGAATTTGCTATAACATCTAGCAATTTGCATTTATGAAAGAATCATAGCATATAAATTAAGAACTCTCACAGCCTAAAAACTCCAATAAAACAGAATCTATAAAATGGTAGATGTGAATATGAAAGACAAAGTCTCTATAAAAATCTGTAATATCTGAAAGGAAGATTGTAAAGTGCCTTGACTGGGTTCCTTTCTATGGTTTATCTTTATCTTATCTCTAATTAAATGGATTAACTAACTAATTAAGCTTATTTAAGTTATACTTCCATTTGTACCTTTGGATTTGTCATCCAAAAATTTTCAACTCCCCTCTTGAATTTCTTGATTCAGGGGAAAAAAAGCAAATTAACAGCTTTCTAGAAACCAAATCATATTTACATTACTTATCAAGATATAACTCATCCCAGCAACTCTGGCTATTTTTTTTACTGAGCTACCTGGAACAAAAGACATGTTGATCTACCAAGTCAAAAGCTATTCAACAACTATTTGAAGAGAGACTAAGCTAGCTAGAGAATTCTGAGAGTTTTGGCCCAAGACCTCGGGGACTACAGTGCCAAGCTGAGCACGGCCATTTTTCTTAATGATAATAAGGTAATCCTCAAGTTATGATTGTAATAGAGCCTGCCAATTATATTCTAACCCATGGGTTTGTTAATTAGATCACATCAAATTAATGTGATTCCCTCTCTGCTTTACCAAAATGCGTTCGCTAATAGAATGCACAGGTCGTTAAGTGCCCATGAGGTATCTTGGTGAGGAAGACCATTACCAGGGGAGGGGGGGAGAAGGGGAGGGCTAGTGCTTCTGACCACCCAAGGCCTCCCCCAATCCACTGAGATATGCTTCCCCCCCCCCCGCTCCCCTAACCTGCCCCACCAGGTCTCCTCAGGCATTGGGCCTATGGAGACTCGCTTACCTGTCGAAGATCTTGAGGATCATGTGAGTTGTCTCCCTTCCAGCCTCTCTGCTCTGCTCCCAGCGCTCCAAAAGCAGAGCGGTGAGAAAATGAGGCGGAGCAGGACGAGCGCGCTCTACTCAGCTTCTCTGACCCGCTGGGGCTGTCTGTGCAGGACACCTGACCTTTTGGAGCGCTGGGCAGCCTCTGTGACTCTGAAGGAGCATGAGATCCTGCTTCCGAAGGCCTCCGTCCCTTTGCAGAAGTTTTTGGCGTGGAGCCCAGGGGCCAGAATGAGTGGGCGAGATCACGCCCCTCCCTCCCCCAAAAAGGCTTCTGTTCTCTGCGCCAAAAGCTTTTACCAAGGGACGGAGGCCTGAAGGAGAGTGCAAGATCGTGCCCTTGAAGCCTCCTGTCCCTTTTTAATAAGCTTTTGGCACAGAGGACAGAAAACTTCGGAGGTTCGGTCTCGCGCTCCTTCAGGCCTCTGTCCTCTGCATCAAAAGCTTTTTGCTAAGGGACGGAGGCTTTGGAAAGGAGGCACGATCTTGAGCTCCTTCAGACTCACCGAGAGTGCCCGGTGCTCCAAAAGCGGATCGTGTGTCCTGCGCTCGTCCCGCTCTGCCTCCGCTCTCACCAGTCCACTTTGGGAACTGGCAAAGAAACTGTGCTGGCTCCACAAACCCTGCAGCAGAGAGGCTGGATAGGAGAAAGAAGGAGCGACCAGCCTGTTCTGGAACTGCAGACCTTTGAAAGGTAAGTTAGTGATCGGCAATGGAGTGGGGAGGAGCCGGTGGGCTAGCATAGCAGGGCCAGTGCCCCTTAAGCCCCTGCATGTGTGTGGTGGGGTAGGTGGAATAGGCAGAAGGGAATGTTACAGTGTCTCTGATTGGTTATAAGGGTGAATGGCTGCCGTGGTGCTGCAAGATTCGTAACTTTGAGGCTGCGTTGTAAATACTTGTGGGGGTGAGGATGTCGTAACTTTGAACTGTTGCTAAGTGGACTGTCGTAACCCGAGGACTACCTGTATTGGATACGCGGTGTCTTTTGAAACTCTTGTTTCAGTCCTTACTTCAATGTGGAGCTTATGCAACAGCATTAGTATTATTATTATTTTTTAAAGGATCAAAAAGTTGGAGCTTATGTTGCTATGTGATTACATATATGCTTCCATGTTTTTGTTTCCTGTTGCTTTTTACTTAATAAAATTATATTAAAAGGCACAAATGAACAACCCCAGAAACAACAACCCCCGAGCCCTATTCCTCTCCTAACCTATGGCCTTCCTCCTAGGCACCCGGTTTGGGGCCATGCTGGACATGCTGACTGACCGCTGTACTACCATGTGTCTGCTGGTGAACCTGGCTATGCTCTATCCAGAGTCTTCCCTCTGGTTTCAGCTGAGCATGAGCCTTGATGTGGCCTCCCATTGGCTACATCTCCACAGGTATCGGCTGGGGAAATAGTGGAGCTGAATGTGGTTTGTTTATTTGTCTATCAAATTTAGATTCCGATGCAATACTGGCTGGGGAATTCTGGGAGTTGAAGTCCATCCTTCTTAAAGTGGCCAAGTTTGGAAAACTAAATAGCGATGGGTAGAATGGCTCTCCTCTACTTAGATTCTCCTCTTCCTCCTTCGAACTGTAATCAGTTTTGCCTTGAAAAGGGATGTAGACAGTCCTCTTCAGATTTATCGTCACTTTCATCTTTAGATTGGAGAAGCATATTGTTGTATTGCCTCCATATTTTTTCTTGTTTCACATTTTTATTAGTTTAATCAAAAAATAAAATACAAAGAGAAATTTAAAAAAAAAAGAAATGGAAAACTAGTAGGAGTGGGAGGGAAAGGAAAAAAAATGGTGTAAAAAGGGAAAAGGAAAAAAAAGGCACCAACTTCCAACTCTCTTTAGCACAGTACAAGATAACATTACAACCTCAACGTTTTGCTTTTACACAACAGTGTATACGAGCCATTTCTATAACAGCAAAAATATCTTAATTAGCAAAAACAAAATCAAAGTTTCATTTTTTTTTATTGCAAGCACAAAATGTTTGTATTAGCTCCACATTTTTTAAAATCCTTTCACCTTGTAAAGCAGGGATCCCCAACTTCCGGGCTGCACCCCACTATTGGGCTGTGACCCATTTGGAACTGGGTTATGCAAGTGGTGGCAAACACACGTGGGTAGCTCCACTTGCACAAGTGCCAGCCGATTTGCTTGCGCGTGAAGCTCCATTTGCGTGAACATCCACCCACCACTCGCACAAATAATGCTGCGTGCGCTGCGTCGTCGTCCTTTTTTCTCCACAACAACAACCTTGTAAGGTGGGTTGGGCTGAGAGAGTGATTGGCCCAAAGTCATTCAGGCAGTTTTCATGGTGATGGCAGGACTTGAATTCCTAGTTTTCTGGTGCCTTAACCACTAAACCAAACTGATTCTCTTTTATGGAAATAATAAACTAATGCATTGCTTTAATTTCTTCTAAGATACCCGTGAGAAAGCTTGGTAGCAAATGACAGCATATAAAATTTTAAAATTAATAAAATTAATATTGTTTAAAGAGTTGGAAGAGATCTGACACACACAAAGGACAGGCTTAATTAAGAAAGCGAGAGTAAAGGAAATAACATTGCAGTTTTGAGGCTGGGTTTTCTTTAAAGCATACACAACCCAGAGAAGTGTGATGTGAATGTTAGAATATGCTTCCAGTGCACCAGATAAAATCTTTCTGGAAGGATTTCATATGGAAGAGATATACAGGAGTATGAGAGAAGGAACAAGGAGAGCGGGGCTGAGGTAGAACTGAACCCTTTTAATTTTCTGCCCCTGCCTCTTTAGCACTGTGGTGAAAGGTGGAGAAAGCCACAAGAGCATTGACTTAACAGGAAACCGGATCTTGAGAGTGTATTACAATTCACGGGTGAGTGTCACAAAAATTGTCTCTTTGGAGTTGTCACATTGCTAATGCCATCCCAACCTTCCTCTCCTTCTATTTTCTCAAAACCAAAAACCTCACTTCAGGTCTTTTCTCACCAATTTGTTATGAAATTCTCTCTTGGGTTTTTTTTTTTTTTTTAATTCCAAATGTTTTGGAGAGAAGGCCCCATTGGGGTGAGTTCTCATTTTTAGCGAATAATACAGTTGCGTTCAGTAAATTTTCCCACTCCCATTGGCCTCCACAGTAAGCTGAATTTTTGCTAAAATGCCACCGCAAGGCAAGTTCCATCTGTCATTTAATTGCCAATGGCATGATTGAACTACAGTATGGGGAGAGTTTGCAGTGATGCGTCTTTTACCATTGGGCCCACCCCACTCCCCCAGTGACCAAGGCTTGCTGTAGAAAGAGGCATTTCCAGCCATGTCAGTCACTGTTCTGGCATGTTTATTTTCATGAAGCATTTCCTTCAAATTGGAGGAAAAGTGGCAATTTACGGTAGTAGACATCCAGTGAGGCTAATTTAAGATGCTGACCTTGACTTTCAAACCTATGTAAACCTATCTGTATGATGGGTTGAGTGAGTCCTCCTTCCCATTTGAAGTGAGGCCAGACTCTTGTTTGGGATGGCTCCAGTGTTATAGGATCCCTTACTAATCAATTTGCTTCTGTGGCATCCTTGGTACTACCTGAGCTTGCTTGTTTTCTTGCAAATGTTTCATTACCCAGCTAGGTAACATCATCAGTGCTAGAAGCACTATTTAACACTGATGTCTAGCACTATCTAGTACTGATGATCTTATCTAGTGGGATAATGAAATGTCTGCAAGAAAACAACCAAGCTCAGAGAGGACTATGGACCCAACAGTTCAACCCTGGGACACAAGTATTCTCTTACGTTGCTACAATTTGCTTCTCTTCTTCCATGTTGATCAATCCAAGTCATCTCTTTCTTGAAAAGGTTATCTGGCTGCTTTTTTATGAATTTTGTGCATTCTGAAAAATTATTTTTTATCCTAGATTGTGCAATAGGTTATTTTTTAATATAGATATTTTATATAGAAAGATGTTTCCATAAAGTCATCATGATTTGTCATGCAACCCCAGCTGATGGCCTCATAAACACCATCTGATTTAAACTGGCTTCTGTTGGCTGCCATTTTTTGCCTGGTTTGATCTGATGTGGTTTCTTCTTTCTCTCCTTTCAGCCTGTTCTGTTCATTATGTGTGCTGGTAATGAACTCTTCTACTGCATGTTGTACTTGTTGTGTTTCGGTGAAGGGCCAGAAAGTGAGTACAGAAAGCTGAGGGGATTGAGGGGAGGGGAGGCTTTAGGACTGAAGAACATGTTGGACATTTTCCCACCCCACTCATTTTTGTTCTTCTGCTTTCCAGTCCTGTCAGGATACGCCGGACTCTATCGCTTGATTCTATGGGTTTGTACCCCTATTGCTATCACCAAGAGTTTCATCAGCTTAATTCACTTGGTCTCGGCCTCCTGCAATATGGCGGCCTTAGATGCTGCTGAACGGGCAAAGAAGATGTAGGATTTCAAGGTTGTGGGAAGGAACTCCCCTAAGTCTTCTAGAGTGTTCAGTTCCCAACCCTCATGATGAATGGACAAGGTCTTTGCCTCAGATCAGTCACTCCAGTTGTGCAGTTTTTCTTTGATGAGATCGCTTCACCTTTCCACGATCCTTTTGTGATATCTGTGTGGGATGCTGCTCCTGGCTTCTTCCTGTTTTACTCCCATAATAATATGTTGAGTTGAGTTAAAAATTGTCTGTTGAGGAAGATTCTGATCCACTATTTTGAGGGGCAGCTGAAGAGCTTGTCATGTTAGAATTGAAAGCTTTTTACCTCACACTTTTGGGGTATCTTTGGGGAGAATGAAATATAGGATTGCACTTGTCTTGATATAATAAAGCAAACTAGGATGTTGCCTAAAAATCAAGAAAATCACATCTAAACACCTTTTGAAATCTGGACTAGATTTTTTTTGTGTTCTCAAACTGTATAGGAACAGATCTCTGAGGAATAGAATGTATTAATCCCCTGTATTCTACAAATATATCTAGTAAGACACGGAGCAACCATTTGGAAGTCATTTATTTTGGACAACATTAATGCACAGCTTTAAAAGGGATACAGTATTGGCAGGCTACTATTGATCCTGGAGGTTTTAGGGTCATAACTTGCATTATTTCCTTGGAATTATCTCTGAATGTTCAGTTTAACTTTTGTACTTTAGCTCATGACCCAGATTATCTGCTCTTTTCTCTTGTAAATATTTTATTAGAAATACCTAGACCAGAGGTGGGAAATTGCTTCATTTCTCAAGCAATTCAAATTGACTGTAGCTGAAGCCCGTACTTTCCTTTTCTTCAATCATGTCATTATGCTGTGCAATATTGAAGTGAATTAAATAAGGAAAACTTTCAGCATCAGTTTTGCCCTTCTTGAGTTTTGCTCAGTCTGTCTTCACCACCATGATTCTGACATTTACCTGTGGCTGAGATGTATTTACTTATTTTCTCCAAGTTTGCGAACATCCTTTACTGAGGTGTTAGGAACTCGTTTATATAGACAATCATTTGTCTTTCTTTCCTCACTGGTTTCTGTATTAGCACATTAGCAAACTTTCCTAGTGTGGCTTTCAGCAAGACGTTTACATTAGCATGATAGCTACCTACCTATTAAAGGTCCTCTTCTCCTTTTCCCACCAAAGTTGGCTTTTCATGCTTGTATTAGGACCCAGAGGTCAAGAGAAATAAAGGAATGGATATGATGAAGGTAGGGTTTTTAATTTATTAAATTTATATGGCTGTCCGACTCATACACGGTGACTCTGGGCGGCTTAGAGAATTAGAAATCCACAACATAACCAATCCATGTTTTTGGTCATAATGGAAGAGAGTTAACCTAAGCTTTAGGCATAGTTTAATCATGGTGGCTGTATTGAAGGAACCAAACATGAAGACTATCATGCAGAACACTTGACTGAGCCAAATTAGAATGCCATTACCATGTAATTTCTTTTGCTTAAATTGCAAGGTGGCCTCTGAAATTGAAATGGTTGTTTTGGTCCTTCCTTGTAATGTCCCAAAAGAGCTTTTTCAAGAGAAAACTGGGCTTTCTGGTTTTTCTTTAAAGACGTTTTGCTTCAGAAGAAGAAGCTTCTTGGATAAGAAGCGAAACCCCTTCAAATAAAAAACCAGAAAGTCCAGTTGCCTCTTGAAAAAGCTCCTTTGGGACAACCATGACCTGGACGACTAAGAATCTCCATAGACATTCCTTATAAAGGTTCTCACTATGTCTCCTCCAAGGAGGAGCTGATCTTGACAAACTCTCCTAAGCTCCACAGTGATGTTGCTGCACATTTCAAACCTGAATGTCTATATATTGTATATAGATTTTTAACGTGTAAAACTTTTGTCCAATAAACAAAAACCTCTTTATCACTCAATAGAAGAGAGGTTACGGTAATAAAATCTGTATACCTTGAGTGTCTTGATTTGATTATTTACAAAAGGGTCTGGATGAATAGCCAAGATAAATATAGCTAATATTCCTAGCTCAGTATTTAACGGTCTTGTAGAGACTGAGAAGATCGACCACCTGGTCAAGGGGGAAGAATAAACGTGTTCAATATAAGAGAAGCCAACATTCGTGAATCCGAGAAGCCATAAAATAGGCTGAGGTCTGCAGATTAAGCCTCTTCATCAACAAGACCTAAGGGAGGAAGTAGAATGAAGATAAAAGAGGTAGTCTGTTACCCTGCCAAGACCCAAATCTTGCCAAGACACCTCTTCTATTCCCAAGAGCGTGCAGAAATTAAAGTCAAATGGTTATGTGCCATTTTGTTTTCCTATTGTGAAAGAGTCTAAAAGAACCGCGTTTGAGGAAATAAAGGCCTTGCTAATTCAGCTGCTAACTTTTGTAGAATATTTAGAACACTTTGCAGCATTGATCAGCAATTGTTTTTCTTGTAATGCTAATGTCATAGATGCCCCAAAATATAAAAGAAATGACTAAAAATCTCTTGAAATTTGGATCATCTTAATTTTTTAACCCAGTAATAATTTGAGGATCTCTGAACATTAAAGCTCATGCCAACATACAGACAACCTGCACAACCTTGCATTAAAGATTAATTCCTCTCTTACAGGACAATGTTCTGTGTAGGCACCACACTTACTGAGATGGACACCCAATAATCTAAGACAGGTGTGTCAAACTTGATTTGAGGGCCGCATCAGGGGTGTTTGAACTCGGGAGGGCTGGAGGGCGTGGCCAGCTCGACATCACTCATGTCGTGGGTGCCTGTAGTCCAAGTGCTCTGCCAGCAAAAACGGGCTCCTGAGCTCCATTTTTGCCTGTGACGGCTTCCTGCAACCCTCTGCCAGTGAAAATGGGCTCCCAAGCTCTGTTTTTGTGGGCAGAGGCACCATGGGCCAGTCATTTGCTGTTTCCAGGGCAGCCCCATGGGCCAGATCTAAGCACCCTTGATCTAAGATGTGTATACAAACAATGCAGTCACGCCTAATGCTAAGTAGAGCTGGGCAATGTGATAATTGGGCAACAGAACTTCCAGATAGCATCCTTAAGATCCACCAACTCCTTGCCTTGCTCAACTTTTTAGAAGACTTTTAAAAAAAGAAATTGGAAGCTATTTAAGTTATTTTTAAAACTGGATACTGCAAAAGACCAAGTTAATATATTTATTTGCTGTTCCACCATTGAAATCTCACCAATGCGCTTAATTTGTCCTTTGCTGAATTATTGGTTGGTGACTATTGTGTCCATCATTTTGTAATGCGGCTGGCACTGTATCCAATTTCCAAAATTCTGGAGCAGACTTCATTTTTTGTTCCATATGTTGCTTTTATGCTCTGTGTTTGTTTTCATTGAGAGATTGGCTCATGAGAACAATGTTTTCCAAATCCTGCCTGCATCTGTTAGTTGCATTAGAATTGCTGAAGGCTGCTCGCTTCTCCTGGGGGCTTATTTAAAGTTTCTGCTCCAGTAATCCCATCCATCCATCTGAAAATGTCTGGGTGATGTAGAAGCCAAAATTGTCAGTGCCCGAGGCTATGTAATTGCTGGCTATGACTCATAGAAACAGAACAATGTGAGAAATAAACACATCTGCTTTAACAAGAGTGTTTATTTAAGAAAAAATTGATTGTGTATTTAAAAGGCTGTGAATTTACACAGGGTGGTGACCTCACCTGTCTTGGACGTCCCCCAATTTTCTCAGAAGAAACACTTGACACCACTTCATGCATCAGAGTTTATTTACTCGATTCATGCGTTGATACAAAAAAAGTCTAGCAGTTTATAATTTGAGCATGTCCACTCTCCCACCCACCCACTACCTTTAAACAAAGTGGTACTAAGATTTATAATATTTTGTGAGCCCGCCCAACCCGCAAAAGGAACAGAATTCTGAATCTCACCAAGAGAGTTGACTGGCCCCCAGATTCAAGACCAATCTATCCCTTCCCTGTTTTGATTGGAATCCTTTTAATTGACGAGAACAAATCATGTCAAAAAGAGCCAAATGGGATATGTAAAGATATAAACAGCAACATCTTTTACAAAAGTGGTCAGGTTTTAGCTCATAACTATATTTGATGAACAGTTTAGAACTCAGCTTTCTCTAACTTGATGACATCCAAATATGTTCGGCATTCAGTTCTGATGTCTCTTGTCTTGGGTTGATGAGACTTATAGTTGAGCACCTCTATGGAGATACCAGTTTGGGAAGAGTGGATTTAAATAACAAACTGGGCTGTGTTTTAGAATAACGGCCCATTTGATTCTCATGGACAGGAAACTCCTTTTCCACATATGCCCAGGAAGAGAGAGGAACGAAATGGATAAGGTTTTCTGCTTTGGCCCCTCAACTTTGCACCATCAGAAGCAGTGGATACTTCACAAAGCAGGAAATTAATTTACATCTTACACTTTGGTAGGTGGGGGGGAGGAAGGAATAAAAAATAAAGTCTCTCCTGTTCTTTCCCCATAAAAAAACCCCTACTTTTCCTCCCAAAATAGTATATGAAAGCAAAGTTTTATTGGTTCGCATCCAAAACGTTGCCCACCCCAATATGAAAACATCTATCAAGCAGCATGTCAAAGATACAGGTTATGTGATTTTCATTCAATAACTTATATGTGTAAACAAAACCCCTGACAAACCAGCCTTCCCTTCAGTCTAGGTCCTGCTTTTCTTCCATTTCTTCCCATGATACTCTAAGCATCTCTTTCTTTATCTCTTACCCCAAATTCTGCTTACCACACTTCAGTAATCCACATTTTCTCTCTGCCAAGGCTGTCCTTGTAGCTGGTTAAATAGATACAATGGACCACTTTGCTTTTAGCAGAGAGATGGGAAGACATGTGATTAGCAACCAAAGTCACCCTTCTAAATTATATTGTGGCCTCATAACTTCAGATTTAAGATTACATTTAAGTCAATTAGCAAGTCACCTTGAGTGAGAGATCTAGGATTTGAGGACTGACTTTCTGCTCCAGATGAGGAATTGGTTATTATTCCCCTTTTTGGCAACCAGAAGTTGAAACAATTTCCCTTTAGTTGTCAGGATTTGGCTCAGAAAAGTCCAGTTTACTGACAGTTGTTGGTTCTCAGATTCTTCCATTGAGTCTATTCTGAACTCAAAACTGTCCTGTACCTATGAAATTCAGATTCATGTCTGTGTGGAATCTAAATTTCTTGAACACATCCGATCCTTTCCCTGTGCCCCATCTCCATCAGATAAACCTGTTTCCATTCTGAGTGACTCCGAATCGCCTACCAGCTCCATCAGTTGCCGGTTCCTCAAATCGATCCATGTTTGAATGCTTTGGTCTTGTCTTAAATCTCACTCCCTAACACAGTGTTTTTCCAGCCTGGCAATTTTAAAATATGTGGACTTCAACACCCAGATTTCCCCAACTTTAAGACATGTGGACTTCAACTCCCAGATTTCCCCAACTTTAAGACATGTGGACTTCAACTCCCAGAATTCCCCAGCCAGC